TGCAGATCCTTGTGTTGTCCCCTGATGCAACTGCGGACACTCGGCCTTCCGATGGCTAGTCTGGTTGCAATGAAAGCAAACCATAAATCCCTTGGGGCAATCCTTGGCGATATGCCCCTCCTTGCCACATTTGTAGCAAGCACCCGATCGAAAAGCTCCCTCGTGACCCTTGCCGCACTTCCCGCAAGTGCGACCCTTCTGGCCTGCAGTCCTCGAATCAGCAGGCTTCGCCCGCTTGTCTGTCGGCTGAGACTGAGCCGGCCGTCGATCCATCCTCTAAGACTCGGCCTCCTCCCTGGCCCGAGTCTCCAACTCGATCTCCCGCTTCCGGGCATTTTCCTGAAGCTCAGCAAAAGTACGATACGTCGAGTTCGACACGAACTCTTGAATGTCCCTCCTCAAAATGCCCAAATACCGGCTCATCCATGTCTGCTCCGTCGACACCTGCTTAGGGCAAAACATCTCCCTCTCATGAAACTTACGGGTAACCACAGTAACCGAATCATTACCCTGCTTGAGGGTCAAGAATTCCTAAACCAACCGTTCCCTCTCCACCGGGGGAACATACTCATCCCTGAACATGGCGGTGAACCTCTCCCAGGTCACCTCATAAATCTCTGCTAGAGTGAAGCTCACCGTCACGAACTTCCACCAATCCTTCGCTCCCAAACGAAGTTGGTTCAAAGTGACCCGCACCCTCAAGTGTTCTGGACAAGAACATGTATAGAAACATCCCCTCAATGTCAGAGATCCACCTCATCGCCGCTATCGGGTCCTGCGTCCCATCGAACTCTGGTGGCTTCGTTAAACCCTAAACCCGTACCCAACGGGTACCCGAAACCCTAACCCAAGTTGACCGGGTAAATCCCCGAGTTGACCGGGGATAGGAACGGGGATGGGTATTACCCGAATATAAAAAGCAGGGATGGGGGTGGGGATGGTTCTACCTATCGGGTACCCATACCCGTACCCGAAACCGACCCCGATGGGTACCCCATATATATATATATATATATATATTATATATATATATATATATATGTATATATATATATACATATATATAATATATATATATATATATATATATATATATATGTGTGTGTGTGTGTATATATATATATATAGTATTAATTATGTTTTTAATTTTAATAATGCATAAGCAAATGTTCAGTAGACAAAAGAAGGTTTTCTAACAATCAAACGTATAGTTTTGGGAAGAATTTTTATGTCTTTTTTTGCAAAGAATGATTTAATTTGTAACCTTGAATGTTATTATTCGTGTTTGAATACATTTAGTGATTATAGTGTTTTATATTAGTTCTGTTAGTTTTTGTTTTGTTGGTTAATATATAATTATGAGTTATTTTTCATAAAAGTTCATAATTTTGTAACGGGGAAAAATCCCCGATTACCCATTGGGGATAGGGATGGGGATAGGGTTGGGTATGGGGAATCGGGTATGGGGATGGGGAACACGAAACCCGGTATACCCGTACCCATTGCCATCCCTACCTGAGGTCTGGCAGCAACAATAGCTGCGGTAGCTGCAGCAGTTGCAGCCTCAGTCACCGCTGCATACCGCTTATCGAAGGTCTCAATAAGTGTGGTCTTGATGTCCCCAAACATCTCTGGAATCTCAGCCCGGATGGCAGCAGCTACCTCCTCATGAATCAATCGACGGATCTCCTCGTCACTGACCCCACTGATCTCAGGTGTGTGTCGTGTCCCAACCATGATGCCTCTGAAATACAATATAAAAATATCAGAGACTCGATCGAGCGTACTCGCACTCGATAACGCAACCCTACTCGCCCTCCAATACCCAAAGGATTCTTACCTGTGCTGCTCACTGATCCGGTGTCCTCAGTAGTACGGGCCCTATACTACTAACTAAACCGCATCAGCATTCACCCCAAGTCTTCCTCCTTGCATCTCGGATCGCAAGTACTCTATTCTCGCTATGCATTGACTACATACTCGCTCTCAAGGCATCTCATGGCAGCAGGATTCTCCTAGGCTAAGGCATCACAAATCAGGCCACTCAGTCCTAATATGAATACCTAGCCCACTCTAGCATGCATAACATAACATAGCATATCTCATAACACATATTGTAAGGGTATTTTGGGGATTCACCGTTCGGGCGCTGGCTGACCGTACACGCTGCTCTGCTCCGTTTGTTTCAAAACTCTTTGCACTTTTATAAAATTTAGTTTTTATTGTTGAAAATTTCTCAAATCCTCAGTTTGAGTTCAGATACGCCCAAAGGTGCATCCGAGTCCCTCAAACCAAGGCTCTGATACCAACTTGTAACAACGTAATTTTTCAAAACAATTTTTCATTTCTTAAAAACATATTTTCATCCAAATCCCACCATAAAAATCCCATGTATCATAATCATAATACAAAACATGTCAAATCCCAAGATCAAATAAATCCAAATCCGACTGCATGTGTGTGTACGAGTCATGTCGGCGCCTTCACACGGTCTTCGCTAGTACCTGAAACACATAACACAACAACTGTAAGCA